TTATATATATATATATATATACGATTTTAAGTACAAATACTATGCCTTGTGGTAAGTGGTAAGATGATAAAGGATTCTCATTATATCACTTTCTTAACAAATCAGAATGAATTTAAAGACAAATTTATAACTCACAACTTATTAGAGTAAGTTGCATTTGAAAGATGGAATTTGTCTCTCACTTATATTTTATGAACACTTTGTTCAGTCCTAAAGATTTTCCTCAGAGCAGCCTTCATCTCTTTGTTCCTGAGGCTGTATATTAGAGGATTGCAGAGAGGTGTTATCACAGAATAAAACAGAGTAATAATCTTTTGCATTTCCACTGGATGTCCTGATTCAGGGCTAATGTACATCATCATAATAGAGCCATAAAACAGGGTGACAACTGCCAGATGAGAAGCACAAGTAGAAAAAGCCTTTTGTTTGCCAGACTCTGAGGGCATCCTCACCACAGCCAGAAGCACCAGAGCGTAGGAACAGAGAATAAAGACAAAGGTGCTTATCATGAAGAAAGAATTGAGAGAGGAATAAATGAGCTGGGTGGTGGTGTCTTCAGAACAGGACAGCATCATCAGTGGAACAGGGTCACACATAAAGTGGTTGATGACATTTGGGCCACAGTAGGACAACTGTGAAATGAGAACTACTGGAGTTAGGAAGATGATGAACCCACACGACCATCCAAAGATGACGAGGCCGGTGCACAACTGCCTGGTCATGATGCGTGGATAATGCAGAGGGCGACAGATGGCAAGGTACCTGTCAAAGGCCATGATGCAAAGGAAGAAGCCCTCATCACAGCCAAAGGTGCAGAAGAAGTAGAACTGTGCAAAACAGCTCACAAAGGAGATGGACTTGCTTGTGGAGAGGAAGTTTGCCAACATGTTAGGAACAGTGGTGGTGACATAACAGATTTCCAGCAGAGAGAAATTCCCCAAGAGGATGTACATGGGCGTGTGAAGGCGCCGGTCCCAGCGCACAGCACAGGCAATGGCTGCGTTCCCCATCAGGGTTAGAGTGTAGGTCACTGAGAAGAGCCCGAAGTAGAGGAGCTGCTTTTCTGGGCTGGAGGGAAAGCCCAAGAGGATGAAGTGACTGACGGGGTGGGTGATTTCTCCACTAGACACATTCATTAGTCTGGAAGACAAGGAGATGGGAGAGGACACTGTTCTTATAGCTCAATAAAGAATGAGGTTTTATCTTGAAACACTATGTACCTTTATTCTTGTTTTTATTAAATAGTATAAGTCTTGGTTACAGAAATAAGACTGTGCTTATCATAACTTAATTCCCCAATATTCTGGCTTCATTTTAGTAAGAGACAAATATTAATGCAAATAGAAATCATGTTTGGGCAAACATTAAACACAATCAGGATACTGGATTACATCTGAGCAGTTCAAACCATAATTTTGATAATTCTTTTTCTGTGTGTTTCCTCATATGTCTATCACATGGAATATGGTATATACAAATCTGTGTATATGAGTTCTTTCTAATGTATTAGCTCTTAATTGATTGTTTTACTAATGATGTGACTAACAGTCATATATAGAATCAAAAGCAACACTCACTCTATTTGTCTTTTCTGCTTCAGATTTTCTGAAGATAATAAGTGCACAAAGTCACAGTTCAGGGAAGGTCCTGTAAATGCAACAAACAAGCAAGACAGAGGCTGCATGGCTTTGTCAGTTAAGGAAGCATTCTATCACATAAAATCAAGGCACATTAAACTAGTGAAACTGATAGCAGTTTTTGAGTTGGTGAAATATCAGAGTGTAATCAGAGATTTTGTATTGTACCAGCATGAACATTCATTATAATAATAAGGAATTTTCCTCAAAAATTGATGTTACGCATTGTCACACTAAGCCCCTGGCCTCCTTTTGAATAATATTCATTCATATCTGAAAATCATAAGGAAATTAGGTCAATTATTTTCTGAACGTCAAGAATAAAACAATAAAATTAGTACTCTCTAGCTTTCTTTCTAATGTTGTTATCACCGAAGTTTTACATTGTCAGCTTCAATAGAAAGCTCTTGCCAGTCAATTTATTTACAAGGCAAATTTGGCACTTGTTGCATTATGGTGTAAAAAGTTTTTACTCCTCGTATATGAGCTGAGAAGAAAGGAAAGAGAAGGGAAATAGGATATTACACTAGAAGGATAAAACTCTGTGAAGAACTTCTGAAGATTTGGAAAATCTAGTCTGAAACCTTCCACTGAGTCAAACAGAGTGAATTTGAGCTATTATTTTCCCTGTTTCTAAGCTTGTATTTAAGGCAAAGATGAAAGCTCAGAAGTTTCTCTTGTACCATGGCCATTGAGATTTGAGAACCTCTCTCCCCAGACATTTTTAAAGTGTTTGCTCCACAGATGAGATAGTTTTTGAATTTCACTTGCTTACAATGAATTCCCAAGCTCTACCTTTCTCATAGGAATAATACATTTGCAGAAGTAGGTTCTCACCTACTCTTAAGCTTTTGTAAGCAGGCACTGAAAAAGGTTCCTGGGGAATAATTAAACAGGAATAGAGCTTGTTGTAATACCCAGGACAGGAAGATCTACCACTGGGTTCCCTGTTTCTTTTATTCAACGCATTCTCTTACCACCAATATTGGTTCTCAAATATTTACTGTGAGACATTTTAGTTGTAATTTCATGACAGGTACTGGAAAAATGGCATTTTAAGTGCTAAGAGTTGTATAGCAGTATTAAGGAAACATTTATGGAGTGCTTAGCAGAGTGGGGATGCAGCGAGATAGGCAAAAGAGAAAGCACTTCCTGCCTACATAAAATTCATTCAGTTTAGTCTTAGGTTTTGGGGAAAAATTACAAGTAGATCAGCTGTTTTGTGAGCTGTTTTGCAACAGAAATTACACTCAATCAGTATGAATATGTTAATTATATATATATTTTTTCATTTGATAAAGTATAAAGTAGCATAGGAGATTGGAACTGGGAGTTAGAAGTTGTCATTTCAAATAAGATTTTAGGGCAATAATCCAGACAGATCTTAACCTTTGAGCACTGTCATAAAAAAGTGGAAGAAACCATGCTGATATTGAGAGAGTTTTTCAGATAGAACAAATAAGTCCTGGAAACAGAGGCAGGTGTGTGTCCAGCATGGCAGACAAGGATCAGGGAGGCTAGTGTGCTGGAGCAGTGAGAACTGAGAAGGCTCCTTAGGTCACCATCCTCTTATCTCCACTTCCTCTTTGAGTAGCAGCTATCCTTCAGTCTACCCCTCAACTCAAGTTTTCGGTTTGCAAATTTTCTAGATAGTAATTGTAATTACTTCTCATATAACCTACGTGACTTTAGTTGGCATTTTCACAAAATAATTTTCAGAATATCTTTAATTTTTCTGACTACTGTCATGTTAACACTATGCAGTCTTAATTTTGAGCTGCATACTAAATTACAGATAGTTTCTATGATATGTTAAAATGCAAAAAAACAAAAACAAAAAACAAAATAGAAACCCAGACACTTGTCTGAGTGTTTACTGAGTGGCTTTGACAGGGAAAGATCTTCATTAATTAGCTTTAGTAGGGATATCGGAAGCTTCTGAAACATTTCTGTTATTTATTTGCTCATGAGAGGGAATAGGTTGAAATCGCATGCTTTTTTTCTCATCTTGTGGAGCCATGCTATCTATAGCAAGTCTTCTGCTTTTTCTTTGATCTTAGAGGCCTCTGGGCATTTAAAATTTGCTTGGTCTGTGTTTTAGTAAGGAAGTGTTGCCAACAACTGAAATACTTGAAATGGAAAAATTTACAGAATTGAGTTTACTTACCTCATAGTTTTGAGTGTCTAAGGTCAGAGGCTGAATCTGGGGAGAGTCTTCTTGTTGATGGGGACTCTTCGTAGAGTCCCGAAATAGTGCAGGGCAATAGCTGGTGGTACAGAGCAAGAGCAGTGTTTCTGCATCCTCATGGGACCTCATCCTGATGATCTAACCCCACCCCAGTCATCACATTCCAAAGCCACACATTCAACACTTTAATTGTATTGTTTCTGTAGTGTTGACACCATTACAATGACTCACCATATCTCAAGGTATGTATTTCTAGGGGATATATTTAAATCACAGCTGTGTTGGAGTTTAGGGTCTAAAGGAGGGAAGGCTTGGGAGAGAACTTCCAGTAGGGCAGTGCCAAACAGAAATATGGGGGCATATGAGATAATACTAAGCCACCAGGGCCATACCAGTAGTGGTTGCAGGGATGGGATTGCTCTCAAGACCTCAGAACTGTAAAGTCACTGGCAATATGCAATGGCCACTTGAAAAACCTACGGGAGTCAGACTCCAAGAACAAACAGCCATCTGCACTGCAACAAGAGAAACCATGGGGATGGGACTGCCCAAGACCTTAGAGGAAAAACTCTCTTTTGGGAGATATGGACTTTGGAATCAAAAGAGATGTCTGCTCTCTTGAGTTTCAGAAATGTTTGGTGCCTTTCATTCCTTTATTATGAGAATTTAAATCCTATGTCTTTCTCATCATTAAATCTGAGAAACTGATAACATATATTCTTGATTTCACATCTCACGTCTGGAAGAAGTTTGCCTTGCATCTCAGATGTGACTTAACTTGAGCTTTTGGGTTGAAGCTGGAATCTTGGATATGAATGAACACAGGCCCAGTGTGAGTTTTAAGCCATCGAGTCAGAAGTCCAGCAATGTAACTACCATGGCATTAGCTGCACACCCCCCACCTGTTTTGGATATGAATGAACACATGCCCAGAGTGAGTTTTAAGCCATTGAGTCAGGACTTGGACTGTGGTTGGCCATGTAGGAGTCCAGCAATGTAACCACCATGGCATCAGCTGCACACCCCCCACCTGTTCTTTCTAATTGAGTTAGTTTTGCTTCCCTCTATTTTCATTAAATATTTCTAAGTCAGATATTTACATTGTCAGGGTGAGAAGAAAGCACTTGACACTCAACCCACTTATGCAGAACATGTGGCACTTGATGCATTAAGGTATAAAAAGGTTTTATTATTTTACTTTATTTTTTAAATTTGCTACGGGCCAAGTGCACTCAAAGACCATCTACAGGGAGAAAGCAAACTGCCAGGTCCTGTACTCAAACCATGGTAAGCCATGTGGGAGTCCAGTGCCTTAATCACCAAACCACCTGCTGACTTACTCCTTATATATGTGCTGAGAGGAAAGGAAAGAGAAGAGAAATAAAATATTACCACACAGAATAAAAAGTATTGAAGGAATTTCTGAAGACTATGACAGTCCTGTCTGTAAATTGGCATTGAGTTGCAGAGTAAATTTGAGAGATTTTCCCCCTTCTACTTCATATTTAAGGTCAAGATAAAAACCCAGAAGCTGACTTACTCCTTATATGTGTGCTGAGAGGAAAGGAAAGAGAAGGGAAATAAAATATTACCACACAGAATAAAAAGTATTGAAGGAATTTCTGAAGACTATGACAGTCCTGTCTGTAAATTGGCATTGAGTTGCAGAGTAAATTTGAGAGATTTTCCCCCTTCTACTTCATATTTAAGGTCAAGATAAAAACCCAGATGAAGGTATTCTTTTTTGCTTCCTTATATTACGACCTTTGAGATTTGAAAACTTCTCCCTAGACATTTTTAAAGTATTTTCTAAACAAATAAGCTAGTTTAAAAATTTTATTTATTTACAATGAATTTTTTAACCCCTTTCTTTATAAGCAACATGTTTGTAGAAGTAGATTCTCACCTTCTCTTATGCTTTAAGTAATCAGGTACTGCAAAAGGTTCCTGGGGAGTAATTAAATAGTAATAGAGCTTTTTGTAATACCTATTCAATACTCAATACAATAGGATGCTCTACCATTAGATTCCCTGTTTCTATTAAAAAATTTCTTTGTCCATCAATATAAGTTCTGAACTCATTACTTAGAAATATTTGTTGCAGTTTTCTGATAGCCACTAGCATAATGGCATTTTAAGTGCTAAAACTTATATGGAATTACTCAAGATACATTTATGCAGTGTTTAACAGAGAGTGGGACTATAGAGGGATAGCAATACAAAAAACAAGTACTGCCTACATAGAGCATTTCAACTTAGAGTTGTGGTGGTGGGAAAGCAACAGAAAAATAGAACTAGTAAGTGAATAAGT